ATTATTAAAAGATTCTAAATTAGAAACCACACATGCACACTTACTTATGAAGCTCAGTCACAAGTCCACCAAGACCAGCAAATGAAGATGAAATGGTGTTCAGTTCAATTTGCAGAAGTGCTTTGGACTGTTCATCAAGCATATAATCTGAACGGTGTAACCCCAAGCATATTCCCTAACAAATTATTGCAAAAGGAAAGGGTAAAAAATATTGGTTACTAACTCTGACTGACTGATGGAGAGTAACCTGCCTGCACCTTCATCCCAGCTTTTGCTATATTAATAATATGCTTGATCATAAACTAGATATCATGCGAAATAAACAAATAATAAAATAATTCAGTTTTTTTACTCTCTTGAGCCAATACGTGTTCCTATGACATAATATTTAAAATGCCCGTAATGGCATAACTAAAGAAGAAAATGACAATCTTTAACAAATTTGGTTCCAATGCACTGTCAATCTACACTCACCTCTTTTTTGTTAAGCTCTAGCATCTTGGAATGAATATCTAAAAGTCTGGAGGTAAATTCATCCACTTTCTTAGTTCTGCGTAGTGGGAAACAGACAAATAATATCAAATGATAAGGCATAAACAGAGATAGACTAGAGTAGAAAGACCATATTTTGGTAGCTAAGCTAGAATGACAAATATATGATGGCAGGCCAAATCGACAAGAATTAAAAATGGTAGAATTGTGCGAGGTAAATCACACAGACAATAAGTGAATGTATACGCTCACAGACATCTAATGCAAATTGTTCTTCACAATTTGAAAGGTAAAACAAAAAACCCAAGAATCAGTAAATATAGTAAAATGCCCATGGAATGCAATCTCTCATACAGCAAAATCTAGAGTTGATCCCAAGACCAGCTGAACATGAAAACTGTAAAAGAATAATAACACAACACATAACATGTCTCTAAATAGGTAAGGAGGGGGGAAAAGCAGACCTGGAGAGAGAGTCCTGTAGAAATTCTCCATCTTGACTCACTCTGTCAACTAGCTCATTAAATACTGGGGCTAACTCACACGCCTGCTTCCAGTGACTTCGGGGGAATGATGCGGGCAACAAGGTAAACGGCGCATGAACCAAGCCCACGCCAGGAACACTTCCTGATCTCTATAATTCTAAACAAGCTGACATCAAATTCAAGAACTAACAAACAAGATGAGACTATTACAAAGGGCAGTGAAATAATGCATTGTTCTAACGATCCAACAAATGTGAAAAACTCTTTATTTTTCACATGACAGTCACCAAGCCTCGCCAGTGAACTATGATTCCTTATCAGAAAATCAATACTTTCTGGAGTACAGAATTCAAATGTTCACAATATAATATAATATATTCAGTCAACGTTTCTTGGTATATCACTGAAGACAGTAGCGGAAAAATACGATTGCTTATGGAGACTGAGAAGTATTGGGAAGAGGGAAGTGAGAACTACATTGGAAACGGACCTCAACAGATTTATCACCAGTAACAAGGCCATGAAGCGAGCTCCATACTAGAGCGTCATAAGCAATCTTGTGAAGTAACTGCTGATCAATAGCATGATAATCGGAAAGAGGAAGGGTGGCAGTTCCTTCGATATCGCCATGCTTCAGAGGCAAAATTGGTGGGCAAGAAGCAGCAGCCGATAGCTGAGACATGATCTTGATGGGCTTACGAAAGCGAATAGAGCCGGGTTTGAGTGAACCAAGAAAAAGAAGGTGATTTTGAGTCTGATCTGACGCAGAAGATACTAAGAATGCGGAATAAACTACTGTTGCCTTTTCATACTTATTTTTGGTTTTGCCAGCTTTGTCTTCTGTCCATACAGCGATGAAAAGATCAAACGAAGATGCGTGTCCCTTTTTTCGCCGTTTTTTTTTGCCATCGAAGAAGATGCTGGTCATGCGCCAAACTGAACTCGAATTCCTTAAATAAAGACGTGGCGTGATTTTCTTACAATATTTTTATATTGATACTAATTTATAAGTTAAACAAACTAAATTAAAAAAAATAATAAATGAAAGATTGATAACATTTTTTGTTGGGAAAAAAAAACTCAGATGAAGTTTATTATATGTATCATATTAAATTCCCCAGTCACACATAATTATATGTAGAGTATTATTTTATATAAATTTATAATTAAATATTATTAAATCTTAATATTTTAAAAATAAGACATGTCACCACCATATATGATTGAACAACATAAGTAACTTGATCCATAAGTGTTTTCTTTTGCCATAAATACGTGGATAACAATAACACACTGCATGTGACATGGCACCACGCATCTCCGTTTTCCGTATAGGCCTTTTGGGGAGGCACGATTTGAGAGAACCAGGCAGCCCAACGGCTCATGTGCTATCCTGTGCTCTTGCGTTCTCACTTCTCGTGCGCTGGACGCTGGCGCCGTAGTGGCGTCGTCTTTCATTTATTTATTTAAAAATTAAAAGAAAAGTTCGGCATGCGCGACTCCTATTGAATTTGGCGTAGTGGGTTGGTTAAGAGACTGACTAATTGATGGTTCTTTGTTTATTGGGCCTACCGCCTCGCCTTCGCCATATGAATGTAGCATTATTGGGCTAGAGCCCATAGCCACGTGTGCTAAAAATCCAAACCGGTGACGATTTGCAGCATTATATGGAGGGAAAATGCCCTTTTTAGCCAAAAAAAAAAAGCTCTGTTTGAGACCCGTAGTTACCCCTTATTTCCAGGGGAAGGAATCTTTTTTCCTGCGTTAAAAGAAATAATCGAAGACTTTGTTAACACACATTCTATTTGCCTTCTCTTTTACTGGTAGAGATAGCCTCGGTAAAATCAGAATAATACTACCTCTAATTTTTAATATAAAAATTAGTTGACTAATTTGAATAAATTAAAAAAATTAGTTAAGTTAGTTATTTATAATAAATATGCGTTGTCTTTCTTAAAATGTTCATATTAATCAAATGTATTAACTAGAACTATCATTATTATAAGAACTATATTGAAAAAAATAGATAAATATAAGAGATAAAGTGAATTAGAATCTTATATTAAAATTAAAACAGAAGTTACTTACTCGAGTTAGTAGAATAAAAGGAGAGAAATCCTTGTAAACTACTGCTGTACATTTTTACATGAAATGAAAGTATTCCTTTCCATGATATTACGAACGACGTCAACGCTACGAAATTGATTTCTCGTCCAGATTAGATCTGACTTTCAGAATTGGTCGTAGAGGCTTAATGTCTTCCTGTTCTTCTTGTTGCTGCCGCTCCAGAGAATTCGACTTTTGGAAAGATTTGCTCCCATTCTTCTTCTTCTTCTTCTTACTGTCGGTAATCTCCTCCACGTTGTCATTAATGCTGACCGTCTTCTTCGGAGCTTCCCTTGGAGGTACCGTTTTCTCTTCTCCGTTCATGTTCATTCCTGCACCGTTCTTCTCTCGGGCCTTCTGCTCCTTTGTCTCTGGCTTGACCACTGCCTCGTCTTCTCTACAAGTCTGAACCTTGGCTGAGCCGAACTGTACGGGACGCCCTAAAGTCACCGTCTTCGATACTTGGGACATCAAGGATTTCACGATAAAATGATAGATCCTGTAACAGATGCCTAAAGATCGAACATGAGGTTCTCTCTGGTCCATCTGATCGCTTCAAATCAATCCGACGATAAATATGAGAATAATGGGATGATGGTATCTAAGGGGAAGGGAAAGACATATTATTGATAAATCTCTCCGTAGTGCTGAGATGTAGAATATAAAGCCTGCAAGTCAGTGGATAGTTGAATCTCTCCGCAAGAGATTCATTTCTTTTCTTGCAAGGAATGTTATATTAGTGGCCCCTAAATTTATCTTTATAAGCAGGGTATGCTAATCGTAAAGGCGGAGCGCAAGAATTCTCTTCTGCTTAGACCCAGGTAAATATGGATTGAGAGAAAGGACGACAGCACAAAACCGGCTTCAACTGACTTAATTCTGAACAGCTATTAAGGCAAACAAATCAATAATGACTAATCATTTATGATCATCAGTAATAGGCAGTTTCTTTTTATACTCAACCAACCTCAACGTTTCAATCGGATATCGTGGGATAATGAGGGTGTGGGGAGATAAAGAAATTTCAGGAATACTTATTATTTTAAATTATTTTGGATCTTTTCTAGTGATGTTATTTAAACTGTTGATAGGATTCAATTTATTTTAAATATTTGATGAGATTATAGGAGTCGAATAAGGAACCATCTCGTTGGCAATAGATATGTTACTATTTATCTGTTAAAATCAATCCCAAGATTTTAAGGATTATTTTTTTAACATTATTCAGTTATTTTTCTATAATTTCAGTCTATAAAATAAACCAGCTTCCTATCATGAAAGAGCGATATGTCATTTCTTTTTCTTTTTTTTTTTTTAAATCTCTTTTATAGTAAATCTTCAGCTAGTAAAGGAAAGTCTTTTGAATTACTTGCTTTTTTTTTTCTGTTCTTTATTAATTTATGAAGTTAAATTCTGATTTCATATTAAACTAAAATCAAAATATTTTTCTTCTTTCTTCCCCCGCCCCCCTATTTCTTTTATCCTTCTTTCTTTTATCCTTCCCTCTCAAAAGAATAAATTCACGCACGCATATGATAATGATATGAAACGGTAAACACACTCATATCTCATGCTCTCATCATGCTTATTGTACCCTTCTTCGTTGCGAGCAGAAATCGAATATAAACGGAAATGAATATGCACCAAATTACCGAGTATGGCCTTTCATAAACACCCAAGGATGCAAAACACCGGTGGTTTGGGTGAATTGGACGGGACTGAGCATCCATTTCGTCCAAGATTGTGAGTTCGGGATAATTGTGACCGTCACGCTGCCCCTTCGCCTATGTTGACTTCCCTTCAGCCTTCCTCTTGTTTCGAGGCTAAACGAATTCGTTTGCCGCAACTTTTCTTGTCTGACGTTAAATTCCAGTTCGCCGCGAGAGGATAATGGACATAAAAAGAATAATACTAACATTTTAAATCCACAGTAACTAGATTTTACTCAACGAACAAAATTGGGGTGTGGTTTACAGCTGTATTCGATTTTATTACTCGGTTTCAGTGACAAATCAACGTAATAGTACTCCCGTCTATAGTACAATTTGGCATCTTCCAAACAGAGCTATGCCGATATACGTCCACACAAGCGCCAGTATGCTCCAGAGTGAAATAGAGACTTCTCAAATACCCAGATATCACGGACAAGAACCTGGAAAACATAGAAAACAAGCAACTAATGCAAGGAAAAGGTAGCATCGGTCTGGAATAAAGAGAAACGGATCCAATTGGGAGAAGAAAAGCATGTTGCGCACAACTTCAATATAGCATGCAGTTCCTATTATCTTGCTGATTTCCTTTATAATAAAGGGGTATTCTTCAAATATAAGTCGCGACAATGGCACAGAGGGGATGAAAATCCGAAGAGTTCCCTTCCATCCAACAAATACGCAACTAAACAGAAGAATAAACACCACATTTTCCCTTTCTGATTTAAAACATTATCCTCATTGACAGAAATTAACAAGGGATGCAATAGCTGGTAACATCACAGGCAAGAAATTTAAAAAAAAAACCGAAATATTACCTCCTTGTCTTTGTCCCCGGCTACAACAGTGCCTTTTGAGTCATATGCTTCAAATTTCTACAAGGAATGTAACACAAGTTTCATTGGTTTGAGTACCAGAAATCTTACAAGTTGTGAAATCAAGTGGTTTCTGGATTCTAAAATATAATCAAGGTTTGAGTGTGAGCGTAAAGCATACATGCTTAGCCAAAAACTCAAGAGTAAGCTGAATGAACAATTTATTGAGGTCATTTCGATCAACACCAATCTGCAAGTGATAACAAGTGCAAAAGTCATTAAATAGGAGAGGGAAAAAGGACTTTAGGACTCTATCAAGATAAGGGTGCAATTTAACATCATATATAATCCACTCATCTGCAGTGAAACATCCTATTCTCTAGTTGCATTATAAACACATGGAAGAAAAAGCTGCCATACAGGTGGTGGTAGTAGAAGAAGAAGAATAGAAAAGTAAAGAAAAAGGAGCTCTAACCAGACGAGCACGTAAAGTTCGGACTTTAACAACTGGTTCGACCAATTCCCAATACACCTTGCTCCATACAGTTTCTCTTTGTTTAATTTCATTCTTAAGTGCCTGTTGATGAGAAAATCAAATATAAAATCTCACGAGTCAAAGTACATTCTCTTTAGAAATTATGTGACATAAAAGAATCCATCATTGAAAGAAAAAAAATCACAATAGGATTGCAGTCAAATGGCAGCTGACAGGAACTGCAGCTTACAGAAAACATGTTCTCAGTAACCGCTTTCCTTAATGAATTTTTGTCTCCATTAGCCATTAGTGTGTTTATCTGAGGACAAAAATGAAAATATCAGCATCGAGCCAGATAAAAGAAAACATAGAAATAACCAAGAGAAAGGTCAGAATCTATGTAAAGATGCGTGCTACAAGGCAAAAGAAGGAAACTATTATGAGCTCATGATAATCAATGCACTTTGTTCAGTTTCCTGGTCTTTCTCTTCAATAACATCCCTTCCATATAAATATATTATACAATCTTTTCATGGTTTTTATTGCATAAGTTACGTACACGAAATGAATAGAAGATTATAATTAAATGGCACTGTGCCTCCAAAAATTGTAATAATCGGTAAGACTTAAGAACATAATGGCAACTAACCTCCCTGTACATGGTGACGGCCTCATTGTAAAATTGCCTTTTTGAGTATCCAGTTTTTCTCAACTTGGCTATAGCATAAGCACTTTTGAGCTGCAGAAGAAAAGAAAGAAATTTTATTCAACCTTTAAAGTAAATTCAGTCTGCATTGAAAGAAGTAAAAAATGACCTACGGCTCAATGTCTTCAAAGGTAACTTCAGTACTTTATCAAAAAGGAAAAAGAAGAAAGCAATAATCAGACATATTTCTTTGAAATCAAAGCAAAACTGAAGGAATTTGAATAAAAACTCGGATTGAGGGACATATTTATGGCATTAAGCTAACATCTGTAAAAGTAAGAAACAAAAGCTTGGAAATTTTAGATAGTTGACATGCAACAGCACCTCCAAAATTATATCATCTTTGGTTCTTCTCCAACCACTTCTTGTGAACCATCTGATACATGAAATGTCAAAAGTGTAAATGCTACGTAATAGTAATACTAAGGGAAATAAACAGTGCAAACTAAACTAGTGTAGGGAGTCATCATCATGGGGTGAAAGAAAACTAATTTCTCGTTAAGCTGATAAGATTGATGATGTTAGATGCTGACTAAAGAGTGGGGGAAAAAATTGCTATCCTGAAATTTAATTGCAACGAACAAAACTTCTTCAGTAATAAATGCTTCATGTAAGCTTTGACAACAGCTAATTCAAGGGAAATCCAATTAAAAAAATTTGAACAAATGAGGCTTAACCTCTGCCAAAATGAGATTGGTTCGCGAGGTGCATATGGTTCATAGACAAATCCAGGACTGGACATGGAAACTTTAACTGCTCCCTGCATCAAAGATATATATTACCCAACCATCAAAATTATTATGTAATTTGAAAGGGATTAAAGGCAGCTACAACAGATCTTTCGTTATTCATTAAAAATACTGGGACCATGAAACAATTATACGCACAGCAGATAATTTCCAAGTGTTGGATAAAAGAACTGCATAAACTTCATATAATCCCATGCCAAGTTTATTTTAGAGAAGGTACATACAGCGTAAGTGCCAACATAAGGTATATCAAGGTCAAAGTCGTTAGAAAGCTTCCTATGCAACTTGCCAAATTAAATGATCATTTGCCACACATAGTATCAAAAGTGTCAAGAATGAATTACCGCTCAGTCAACTTTCTTGGTATGTCTCAATAATGAATCATATGCCGCATTTCTTACGTTCATGTTTCATATGATCTCCCAGAATCTAAGAAAACATTTCGTACATGGAATCAAGTTTTGCAGAATTGGAATGGGAGTGTAGCATACATAGTTCAATTTGTGATTGTGGTGGGGAGCAAATGGGGATAATAACACTAGCTGCATTCTGCAATCATAGGCAAGATGCGATTCCGTAGAGGAAATATTTGGGCAGTCTCACTTATTCGGGGCTAATAAGTCCTTTGTTGACTACAGAACAAGATGGGAACAAGGCACAACCACCCTCCATTACATGCATAGAAATAACTATACATATGTGCATATAAAATTAAAAATGATAAGGATGCATATATATTCAGTCCCCATTAGTGGAGGCAGGATATAATCCCCATTCCACCGAACTAAATTTACTCTAAGAGCTAAGATGAGTAGTGACTTAAAGCGAACAGAAGGATCAGTGGACTCCCAAGTGAAAAGTTCCCAATTCCTTCATAACGGAGCTTCCAGCTCACTTTTAGCATTCCCACAAAGTAAATCAATCCAATAATTTTAAGTGGTCTATAAATACAAAAAAAAAAAAAAAGCACAAAATGCTTCTTCATTATGAAAAGAAGATGAACAGTGATAAGATATCACACCATTTTTCGTGCTTGTGCAGGGGCATTAGCTTGGGTAGTTGCCAACCTCCTCTCATTCCTAAAGATGGTCAACTCAGCAACCTAAGAAAGTAACTACAAAATTAGGAAGCCCCTGGTTTTTTTCCCCCTTTTAATGTGATCTGGAACTGGAATAGACAGTGACTTTGGTGTGTTACCATGGCAGACCGGACTGTCAAAGTTTTACCACTAGTCCGGGGAAAGGCGTTATGGCCATTGTACAAGTTAGAAGAGAAGCTCTTGAGGCTGAAACTAAATTTAAGACCTGATCAAGCAGAAATACTCGAATGTTGAAAAATCTGAAGGCATTAGAGCTACAGAAAAGCATAAAATTAAAATCAGACAGCAAGTTTTCGATGAATTGAGGTGGAAAGCAACCACCGTAAAATTCTTTCAAAACAGATTACCATTTGATACACCACTGGCATGGTTGCTGTAGCTTCGAATCCTGGAGTTCAAAGATATACTGCCATCTTAGTGAGTAAAATTTTCAGAATGTTATTCAATCTAAGAGTACAGTGTGCAAGCTTCGGTTCGGTAGTTAACTAAGCATAAAAGTAAGTCCAACACCAGTTGCAAACAAAGTTGAAGAGAATATAGATTCAAATACATGAAAAGCTTCATCATTCGACATTTTAACAGGAATCAATCACCAGAAAGGCAAGAATTGTTACTCACGGGTAAGAAGATTCTCGAAGTCCAGATACATGATGCAGCACGCGAATCAACTGTAAGCTTCTTAAGGCCATCTTCAACTGAGAAACAATGAGCTGTTCTAAAGCCCCTTCTCAGATCACGAATTCGTCCGAGTTTCTTGTTTATGGAAGGTTTTTGGAGGGTTTAAAGTCGGGGGCGGCTCCGGCGGAAATCTGGATCGTCTATTAAAATTCGACGGCATAGATTTAATTTGGTTTTATTTTTAAGCTGTAATTTTCTTTAGTTTTTAAACCAGAAACCGATGTTCTTTAAGAACACATGCCATGTGGTGGTCAGTTAAAAAATTAAGAAATAAATAACATATATTGCATTCTTTTTTTTTTTTTACCAGCAATTTTTTTTTTTGCCAGCTTTACCAGCAATATTTGCATGCATTCAGACAAGGTAAATCTTATTTAAAAAATGAGCAAGTAATACGTGTCATATGATTAATGTTAAAGATAAGGCCCTGTTTGGATAGCAGGCCAAACCATGGTTTAGAGACCCAATCCATGATTTGGGGAAAAAAAACCCAAACAGGCACAAATTATCTGAAACCATGGTTTTGAAACCCAAAACCATGATTTTGAGAAAAGTGAATCCATTCTGCTTCTGGCTCAAATTGGAAAGTATGATTGTGCCTATTAGAATAAATCTCAATAATAATATGACTTTAACACCCCTTAATTAATTTTTTATAAACATATTTAATCTTATATCTTATAAATAAATATACACATATTAATTAATTATTAATTATGTTATCTTATGTATTATTAATTATATTGGTAAAAAAATATATTATTAACAATTTTATTCCTTCAAATTAAAATATATCATACAATCTATGTTTTATGTAATTATCATATTAACTTATGCTTTTTTTTAATAATTTGTACATATAAAAAGTATTTTTGATAACAACTATCCAAACACTCTCACTTTTTATAATCACTTTTTCACAAAATCTATTTTTTCTAGAATCTATTCTCCAGAAGTTATTCTTCAAACCATAGTTTGATTTCATCCAAACACACGATAAACCTGATATTTTACACACCGCTGATAACTCACAAACTTGGCTCTCGAGTCTCAAAACACAAACTTAACTTGTCCCTCCATAAACATTTAAATTTTATAAACAGATTTTTTTATAAAAGAAAATTTTATCAAACAAACAGAATTTAATTTGGAGTGAACTCAAATAAGAATGAAAAAGTTTTCAATTTTGGAAATTTCCTCCCGCCATTTCTATAATTTTTTTCTCAACATTTGAACTTATATTTTTTTCCTTATAAAAGTAAGACTGTTTATAATCTATTTTCACGGTTTGTTCATGATAGTGGGATTAGGAAGTAATCTCCATTAGGCTGTTTAAGTGCGTTAGAAGATAATGAAAGTCTTTATTATTTATAGGCACTCTTTCTACTGTCACGATCAAAAAGAATTGGAAGAAAAAACTGGGTATAAAGATCCTCTGTGCTTTCGACAAATCCTGATCATTAACCTGTATGAAGAAATTATATGGATATTAAAATATCCTATATTTCAAGTGGGGCATCGTGAATATTTTACTCATCAGACAATGAAAAATGTAATAGTGAGAGGAGTTTTATTAAAAAAATTCAAGGAAGTTTATTCTGAATTTTGAAACATCACGAAGCTTTATGTGTGTGTGTATTTTGACAAAAGAACATTTTTATTAATAAAGGAAAAAAATACAAAGAATTCAGAGAAACAAAAGAAACCTAACAATTTTTTTTATAAGGCTTCAGTTTTCCTTTATTTTATTTTCTATTTTTGGTTTTTTTAAATTTTTTATTAACATTTTTATACAACTTTTTAAATAACACACAACATCCAAGAAAATAATCTTATCACCCCGACTTAGTGACCTTGTCCTTAGAGGCCCATAAAATCTACAGCTGGGCTCGTCCTCGGTCCAATTCCATCCAATTCAAAATTTTCTCTTGCCTCCGGTCTTCGGAGATGAGGTTGCCGGTCAAAAAGGGGGAAAAGATCAAAGAAGATTCGAACTCTTCGAATGACATGACAGTGTCTTTTATATTTTTTTCTCCTATTTTTAATATAAAAATTTGTTAACTAATTTATAAGAAATATTTGTTATTTTTTTAAAATATTATTAATTAGAATAATCATCGTTATAAAAATTATCTTTAAAAAATAAATAAATATAAAATCAAAATTAATCCCCGAAAACAGGTAGTGTAATTTAGTTCCCGCCTCGAAGCCCGGGCATGAGCTTTCTGAGGAATCAGACACTCGAAGCCAGTGGAAAATCGACGGAGATCGCTGTGAATAAATACACGCTTCGTATTTTATTCGAGATATCGCATAACCATTCACCACCGGGTTCAAACGAAGAATCAAGAATTGCAGTGAGAACACTATTTACGGCGAAGCAAAATGTCAAATATTATTGTTTGTGCCCGCTTCAGGCCTTTGTCTTCGAAGGAGAACCGAATTGACGATAGTTCTGTCTGCATTCGAAGTGTAGACACCGAAACTTTTGTTTTCAAGGTTTTAATCTGCCAGACCAAGCATTTCGTCGCCTTATTTCCATTATGACTATGAAATTGATCGTTCAAATATTGAGTGCATTGCCTTCTGGATTTGAAATGATTTTGATCAGGATGAGAAGGAAGAGGATTTCACGTTTAGCTTTGATAGAGTGTTCTATGAGAAATCCGAACAGGCTGAAGTCTACGAATTCCTAGCTCTTCCCATAGTTCGAGGTACACATGTTTTCCATCTAGATACTGACGCTTTCTTAATTTCAGTTCCTTTCCATAAATTAGATATCAGAAACTCATCTCGGCCAAACACGGCATCAACTTTTTGAGCCTTTCTGAGCCTTCGACACAGAAACCTTTGAATCTCTTGCCACCAATTCTTTAATCTTGATAACTAAATCAACATAAGGATGGTTCTGGCTTCAAACGTTTAACGCGCCTACAGAATCATTGTACAACGCTACTTCCTTTGGTCCCTCGTTCCAGCAGATCTCTAATCCCAAAAAAATAGCCCAAACATCAACTTCAGTTGCATAGAATTTTACAGCTGAATGGTTCTTTAAAATAGAGTTAGATAGAATGGCAATGGCACGTACCTTAGCTATAGCCTTGCAGAGATTGGATTTTCTACGCTCACAAAAATTTGAATGTAAATAAAAGTGAATAAAGAGGGTATATTATATGAAAGTGATAAAGAAAAAGGGTGGATAAATTAAATATGATGATGATATGTAAATCCTCTGTATATGGCCACATTTTCTTGTATTTTTTTCTCTTTCGAATACACGGATAAATAGATTAAAAAAATAGAAAGAGATCCAATCTGATAGTTTTACCTATTTGTGTTGCTATTTTTTCCCGAGGATATAATGCGTTTGACTTTACATGTTCTCCATCAACGAAGCAGATGCCGCTAATGCTATTAACGGGACAATTATCACTTATGGTCAGGTAAGATGTCATTACTCGGCTAATATTTTTCAGTACTTACTGATCTCCTAGTATCACAAACAATTACCAATTCTGCTTGTGAGACACGCATGCAGTAACATCTTTTTAGTTCTTCCATACTAGAATGAGATCCTGTCAAAACTGGTGAGAAAAGATATGTTGCATCACAAGGCGAGAAAACACGCAAAATTTTAATTGCGATTGAACTTTTGTTGTATTCCTATCAACTATACGAAGAGTTCAAGATATTCCACAAAATCTCAGTAGGAATGAAATTTTTATGTTTAACCGTTGGCATAAAAGGTCATCTCTGGCTTTCCATCAGGAAGGACTCTGCTATTTTTGGCTGAGTGTTTTTCTTATTCTATCTGCTCAATTTATGAATGCGGTTTCTGAATTAACTTTAATCGGGAATTTGTTTTCTGCAATCAACGGCAGACTGGGGCCGGGAAGACATATAGCATGGAGGTGAAGTATTTTCACTTCAGTTGTCCTCATAATGATTTTATAGAACATAAAAGGCAGCAACACCAAGTTAGTATGACTTTCTGAAGCAGGGACCTGGTATATTAGAATGCGACGAACCGAAGAAGGGGCTGCTTCCCAGAGTTGTGTTTGGACTTTTTGATACCCTAAATCGTTCAGACGAAGAAGACATAAAGTATTCAATTAAGCTGTCAATGGTACCAAGGCACTTACCAATTAACTCCAGTATCTGCAGTAAATGAAGTAACATTTGTTTAAATTTGGTAATTTTTCTGATTTTTTTGGGGGCTTGTCCAGGCTGAAATCTACATGGAGAAAGTAAGGTAAGCATCGTGAAAGCAATTATTTTTCTTATGGCCATCGTGCATGCCGGTGGCATCTGAATGGAAATCTACATGGAGAAAGTAAGGTAAGCATCGTAATAGCCGACCTTTTTAGCTGTAGAATAACTCTTTCTGCTCTTACGTAGGGACCTATTCAATTTATCAAATGACAATATACAGATTAAGGAGAGCAAAACACAAGGAATAATATTACCTGGGGTAGCAGAGGTGAGCAATTCTAGTGGGAATTCTGTATACGCTATTTCGCTCTCTCTCTTTTTTATCTGGTTCAAAAGCTATTTTCCTTTCTACAGTTAGATATATGTCCTGGCTGGCTAGCTCTTAATAAATGAGATTATGAGACGTAAATATGACATGTTCTGTTGGCACAGTGATATGTAGCTAAATTAAATTCTGACAAAATGAGATAAATCAGGAAAAATAAATTGAAGTCATTAGTTCTTTTTAATAAGAAATATTGTTATTTTTCAGACACAAACTTCAGAAGGGAATTTTATTGTTAATTATCATCCGCTGACAGTCTTTGTTGTGGTTACGTCTTAGATTGCATACTGTTCTCTCTCAATTTTTTCACGAGAACAAGAACCCGCTTCATTTTAAATAAGATTAGACCCATTTATTATATCAAACCTGAAACAATTCATTCCGTACATAGTTTATGAACATGTCTTGCTATAAGTTTTACATGATACATTTGATTAAAGTAAGACAAATATTCATTTTATTACAATTGAGAAAACCTTGATAGCATATAATGCTAACAATAGTGGTCAT